TGCGAGCTGGTTTATTGGAGGTGGATTCTTTCAGATGAGATATTGAACAATGTCCTATCTACATGCTCAGGATGTTTACAACAACAACTAACAAATCTGTGATAAGTTTAGCAATCCATGACACTATTCAAGAAGAATAGTGTACTGGCCAACAGTCCTCAATGAATCATATGCCTCATTGTGGGACATTGCTGTGCACAAATTGTCCGCTGCATTTGCGTAAATTATGTAGTCACTACACATGCCAGCAATTGCTCTTGAAGTGCTTTGAGATAGTTCAATGTTATGTTTGTTATATCAAATGCAAAGAAATGATCATAATAATAATTAGTCATTGTTCATTTTACTTTTTTTGCAATTGGTTGCCCCGTTTCTCCCACAAAATATACAATCAATTCACTTTACAGTATATTCTGTGAAGTGCTTTTAAGACATCTCAAAGACATTATAACTTATAAGGTGCTATATCAAATGCAAGTATTATTATTGTTATTACATTTGATATTGATCAGTAAATACATAAAAATACCAGAAAAGGTGGGATTGAAAAGATTCAATACTAAAACATTTACAGAGCTGCGTAAAGTTACCTTAGCTGTACATTTTATGCACATATGATAAACACCAGTTATTCCACAGCAAATGAAACTGATACGTGCTCTCAATCTAATTTTAAATAGAAATAGCACAGTCAGCTAAGTGAAGAAAGATGTCAGTAAGATCACTTAGTGTGAGATATGAAATAAGCAACTATAATAAATGATAGCAACAAGTGGTTCTGAGAACGATATAAAATCTGCTCCAATAAGTTGTGACTGTCTCACAGTGTATATATTAGTGTCAGTCTGGCTCCAGCCTCTGATTGTGGGTTCAATACCCCTGTCAGACCTCACATTGCCTAGGCTGACACTCCAATGCAGTGCTGAGGTGTACTCCATTTTTGCATTTTTTAACTTTTCGATGCGATGCTGATCCAAGGTCCCATCTGCTATTTGGTAAATGTTAATGATAATAATGTAGTGTAGAGTAGCACCTTTCACCTTGGGAGGACATTCCAAAGCACTTCACAGGATTTACTGTGAAATGGAGTGACTGTATTTGTAGGCAAATACAGTAGCCCAATTGCATACAGCCATATCCCACAAACAGCCACAAAACAAATGACCAATTTTACTTGGGGATTGTTGGCCAGGACAATGGAGAAACTTCTTTTTCTTTTCGTGAAGTGCCATGGGATCATTAACGTCCAATTGAACAGGCAGACTGGGCCTCAATTTAATCTCTCATCCAAAGATCCATGGTACTATTCGAAAAGAGAAGGGAGTATATCTTGGTGTCCTGGTCAGCAATCTCCCAGATAAAACTGGTTATTCACTTCATGCTTATTTGTGAGACAATTTAGCTGCTGCATTTGCCTACAAAATACACAGTCATTGTAATTTACAGTAAATCCCATGAAGCACTTTGAGACTTCCTTCTCACATGAAAGGTGCTGTATTGAACCTTTATTATTATATCTTAACTGAGAAAATAACAGTAAGTTGTTATCACAATCGTTTCCAATATTGTTATATTCCAATATTCTTATTATTATCCATTAACTCATTTTTCTTCAAAAAAGCATTTTTGTTACTAAAACTGTATAACAAGGAAGGTGGACTTAGACCACAATAAGGCATTCTGCATGGCAATGTGTCTTTATTTCCTAATACAGAACAGCCTGAACTTTGGAAGTACTGGTAACCATCCCTAACACAAAAACTCCTGAACTATCTCTTTCTTCAGTATTCCTTTAAAGCTATGCCTTCTAGCTGCTGAATTACTATATACTCTACTGTGGAGTCCTATAGCTTATTGGTTAGAGCACTTGGCTCGCAAGTGAGGGGACCTGGGTTTGGTTCCCAGGCAAGGCGAAAAATTAGGCAAGTTATCTTACTTCACAGGCCACTGTTTACCTAGTAGTAAGTAGGAACCTGGTTGTTAGGCAATTTGTGGATCACTTTTCCGGGGGTAATAATCCCTTCAAAAAATTATTAAATTAAAAAATGTGGTCACTCAATCCATGACTGTTTGTGGGACACTGCTGTGTGCAATTGACTTCTTCATTTTATCCACAAAATACACAATCAATTCACCTTACAATGTATCTGTGAAACGCCTTGAGGCCTCTCAATGACATGATAAGGCATTATATCAAATGGAAGAATTATTATTACCAGAGTTTCCAATTACAGAAAATTGCACTAATTTTACACTAGAATTTGCATATTTACACAATGATGGTGCATAATGATTTGTAATTATTTGCATTTCATATTTTTGTACAAAATAGTGAAAACTAGAATGTTAAAACCAGCCCAACAAATTACATTTATAATGTTCTGACAAAGATTTACAAAAAAGATTTACAAAGAATATACAGCATAGAAACAGGGCACTTTGCTCATCTAGTCCATGTCGGTATTTGTACTTCACATGACTCTCCAGGACTCTCCACCCATTCCTTACTCCCTCCCATATCCTTCTATTCCCTTCTCTCTCGGGTGAATGTTCAGCTTCCTATGGAATACATCTATACTATCTGATTCAATAATAATAATATCCTTGCATTTAATATTTCGCCTTATCACCTCATTGGGACGTCTCAAAGCACTTCACGGAATATACTCAAATAAATCTCAAATCAATTCAACCACCACTTCAGGCAGCGAGTTCTATAATCTCACTACCCCTCTACGTGAAGCGGTTCCTTCCAAATTCCCCTTTAGATCCCCTAGTCACTATCTTATATCTTCTTGTTGTAAGGAAGTCAACATTTAGATTAGTTTGAATGGCTCCAAGGAATACTTTTCAAAGAAGTGCTATTGTAACATTAGTACAACAACTTTGCAAGGAAATACATTTTGAAGAAGGCTTTCTGAACCATTACGTGAATACCTTCTAAGATGTCATGGAGTAAATTCATCAGATATCAAGTTGTTACACCTTCTGTCCATCACTCACTGAAGAATTCATTTGTAATAGTCTCATTTTACAGGGCAATTGGACATTGCATTCTTGCCTTTTATATTACATTGTTTGAAATCTAATCTGTGTTATTTTCTCCCGGCTTGCTTGTGTATTGTGAATCTTAAGCAAACCATTTCCCTCTTATCCCTGTTTACCACTCCTTTTTTGTTTCACTGATATGAAATTCATGATTCACTGGCTGCAACAGAATTTGCATTTAAAGCAACAAATCCACCAATATCGCTTATTACTTTTTATACCATAATTTAATAGTTGGATCATTTTGCTGTTTTGAATGCCTCCCAAGAAGCTGTCCACATGCTTATAGTATACATTCATACTTTATACATGATAATAATCACAAAAATCCTTAGATTTGGTACAGTGTCTTGCAGAGGATATCTCAAATTGCTTCACACGATACAGTGTAGTGCAGTGACTGTGTATACTGAGCAAGGCTGTGAATTCAGAAACAAACAGCTCTGTATAGGCCAATCAAAAAAAAGGAATTAAATGTCAAACCAAGCTTTTTAAGTATTTGATTTAAATAATTGTATCCAGTTTTTTTTGCTTTCCTCCATCCCCATCTTCAGGCCGACCCTGAAGACCTTCCTCTTCGATCGTACTTACAGTCACCCACCACAATCCCTGGATCAGAGTCAGGCTATGCCACTCTCAAGCCCTCTGAAATGCTACCCTGTGTGAGGGGTGCTATGTAAATGCAAATTGTTGTTGTTGTTGCTGTAGTTTTCAAAAATCGCAAAACTGAATTTATTACATGCATTGAAACATTTATTTGTCAAATTCAAGGTTAAATTTTTGACCAGAAAATTGCGAAAAAGGTGAAACAATCGAAAAAAAGCTGCACATTTTGTCTTTTATGCTTTGATTTGGGACATTCGCTGAGGCAAATACCTCATAGCAACAATTATTTTGCTCCTAACGACTAGAATTTTATTGGAAGGGTATATGATTTTATCTGAGGGCTAGGGTTTTAAACAAGCAAATATTTGTTTTAATACTGTACATGGTGCTTATTGCTGTTCATGTAGGAACGTAAGAATTGCTAGACCAAAAAAGATCAAGATCCATTTTCTACCATCCTGGTATTCTTATACCTTTCAGTGGCCTTTAACACATAGGTGGTTTATCCATATAACTACTGTATTAAGTTAGTCAGATATTGTATACATTTCACAAAATCATATTGACTCTGATCAGATGATGCTTTTCCAAGTGCTCAGTTACTCTGTCCCTAATATGGATTCTAGTAATCTTCCACTCAGTGGCCTATGGTTACTTGACATACCCCTTCCTCCCTTCTTCAACGGTGTGTCAAATTTCTTATCCTCTAATCATCCAGTATTATTAGCAACAAAAAGTTACATTTATATAGCACCCCTCATGCAGGCTCAAGTCCCAGAGCGCTTAACTACCAATTCAGCTACAAATACATCATCACTACACTTTATAGAAAACCTTATGAAACGCTTTGACATGTGTTGATATGATTAGGCACCATATCAAATATAAGATTATCATCATACACTCCTGCATCCAGAACATTGTCAAAATACTAATATTAATAAATCTCCAATACAATAACAACAACTTATTTATATAGCCCCCTTCATGCTGGACGGTGTCTCAGAGCTCTTTATCCATAATCATTGCCTATGGATAAAGTTTGCATTATTTTAAGTGGGCATATAGCTAATTAACACCGACAGAACTAAGTGGCAGTGGATCTCAGGTCTATACAGCCTGATCAATAAAATGTTAATGTTTGGCTGGGAATTACATCTCCTCCCTGTTGGGTTTCCCAATAGTGCAAAATTCATTAACAAATACAAAAAGCTGAAAGCTGACATGAGTACATGGTAACTTTACTATCAAGTATACTGTGAAGGATTTTTTATTTTATAATTTTAACAGAGCCTACAATCTACTAAGAGGAAAATTTGATTTCATCCTATTCATTTTTCCTGCAGTGGGATCTCGTTTGTGAGAATAATTGGAAAGGTCCATTTTCCTCCTCAGTGTTTTTCATGGGCATGCTGACTGGTTCATTCTTTTCCGGACATCTTTCTGACAGGTACAACTGCTTTCAGTAACAAATCACTGAAATTAACTTGCCATATACTGCTTATCTGCAGATATTAATTTTACATATAGAATTATATAGAATGTACAGCATTGAAACTAACCATTCAACTAATCTGTGCCGGTGTTTATACTCCACATCCTAATCCCACTTCCTAGCCTACCCATCCTCCCCCCCACCCCCATAACCCTCTATTTCCCTCCCATCTTATGTTGGCATCAAGTTTTCTTTTAAATTCATTGATGCTTCTGTTTCAACCACAGTTCTGGCAGTGAGTTTTACATTCTCACCACATTCTGTCAAGAAATTCCTCCTAAACTCTTTACTTCTGCTAGTGGGTATTTTATATTGATGCTCCATTTTAATAGACTTGCTAACAAGTCAAAACAATCCTTTCTGGTTCACTTTATTCAAACTCCTTTCATAATTATAGACACGTCCAGCAGGTTCCCTGTCAAGCATCACATTTCCAGAGAAAACACCTTAACCTGCCCAACCTGTCCTGGTTGTTTAATCGGAAAACAAAACAGAAGTGACTGGGAACACTCAGCAGGTCAGGCAGCATCTATGGAGAAAGGAAAATGAGTCAAAGTTTCGGATCCACGACCCTTCGTCAGAATTCAGTTCTCCATAGATGCTGCCTGACCTGCTGAGTGTTCCCACTGACTTCTGTTTTTTGTTTTCAAATTTCCAGCAGCTGCAGGATTTTGCATTCTGATTGTTTAATCCTCTGATTCCTGGTAGCATTCTAGTAAATCTATGCTGCATTCTCTCCATTACCACAATACTCTTTTTGTAGTCTGGTGATCAGAAAAGTACATTAGTAAATTCTTAAATACTTATTTTTTCCCTGTACTAATTACCATTTCTGTTGGAACTGAGCTCACAGTGCTATTTCGGCCTCCAGGAACATTACATTCAACAAACATTTGTGTCAGCCTGACTCAGTAGGTAGCACTCTCGCCTCTGAGTCAGAAAGTTGTGGGTTCAAGTTCCATGTCAGTACTCATATAGTCTATGTTGACATGCCAATGCTTCAGATGGGATGATAAACTAAGGTTTGTCAGTCTATTCAGGTGGATGCTAAATATTCTGTGGAATTATTTGAAAAGAGAAGGGAGTTTTCCGGTGTCCTGGCCAACAATCCCTGAAATAAAGTTAGTCATTCACTTTATTGGATATTTGTAGGAAATTGCTACATTCAAATTGGCTGCCATGTTGCCCACAAAAACACACAGTCACACCACTTTACAGTATATCCTGTGAAGCGTTTTGGAATGTCCTCCTGATGTGAAAAGCAAAGGTATGGATTACCATTTTTCTTATATTCGTTCTTCCAGGGTCTTATAACTTCACTACTCATTTCAGGATAATTAGCCTTTTCTGCCCAATTATAACCAGAGATAGTTTGCATTTTTGTTACATAATATTTTTGACATGCTGGTTGATTAGAATGATTAGAATTTTAGCTTTAACCAATCATCGATCGTTCGCTTAATATGGCACAGTTTAACTTTACTCAACACTAACACTGAAGATGGGCCTTAATTCTGTACTCTGAAATTAGAATGGTTGTCCTTTCATTATATGCAAGCAAGACTTTATTTTCTTATATCCTGAAAGTAAACCTTCTGACCCTAAGAATGCTCTCTGCCAAAACTGTATTGGAGTGTTTACGCAATAGTCAAACCTCAATTAATACATAAGAACATAAGAACATGCTGGACAAAAGAAGACCAAGGTCCATTCTGTTTGCCTTCCCCCATCCTGGCAGTCACATACACATGTCATTTCCTGAACTATATACTGTATCTCAATATATTATTTCACTCTGTTTTCAAGAGTATCTTTATTAAAAGGTTACCCAAATCAACAGACACTTATTTCTGGGACAGAAAAATATAGATTTTGCTTTTTGTCATCATATCATGGCCTGACAATAAATATCAAACAAACAATTTTTAAAAATCATGCCAGCCATTAATATCAGGCAGAAGCTAAAGAAACAGCTCACTTGGTTGTTTGTGCTACCACCTACAGAATTACAAGGAACGTACAGTATGGAAACAGGCTATTCGGCCCAACCAGTCCATGTCGATGTTCATGCTCCACACGGGTCTTCACCCATTCACTCCTTACTCTCTCCAATATGCTTCTATTCCCCGCTAGTTCCATTCTAGCTTCACATTGAACATTAATAAAATTGCAGATTGGCCTAGCTGACAGCCAGAAAGACAGACAGATTGACCGCCATCAATCTTCCCTCTCTCTTAATTGTGTATCCTCTGCATCTCTACCATATTCCCTATCTAGAAATATCTAGAGATCAAAATCGAATAAAATAAAATAAATTTAAATTTGAGCTTTCTTAAGCATGCATTGTGTTGCTTTATTACACCAACAAAAATGACCACTAAATAGGATCAACACCTTATTTATTTTGAAATGAGCATTTTTTGGGGGTTGTAATTTTCAGCCCCTATAGTAGCTTCTAATTTATCTTTTTTTAAATATTTATATTCTTGGGTTTATCTGCCAAAGAGGGGTGGAATTTGTGCTCTGTGCAGTGAAAAATTAAGTCACGTCATTTTAACTAACGATATTTAGTGTATGTACTAATACATGGGGTACAGACTGCACAAGGTTGTTTTCAAAAAGACACATCATTCATGACATTTGCTGTTTGAAGACTTAAAACAAATGAGGAAAATAAGGCATCACCTGAAAAATATGCTGTTACTTTATATTTACCCATTTTCTTTTTAAGGTATGGAAGAAAATTCATTCTGTTTGCATCAATTACAGTGCAGACAGTCTTTGGACTTATTGAGATGGCTTCTCAGAGCTGGGAGATGTTCTGTGTATTCTACTTTGTAATTGGATTCGGACTAATATCGATTTACGTAACTGCTTTTGTTTTAGGTACGTTTTCTAATGTTAATGAAGAAATTACGCTTTAACCCTGTATCCAACGGTGATTTTAATTTATTCTCACCATTTTGGACCTCTATTTCTCCTTTTTCTGTGGTCGCCTCTGATTGCCTGTCTACCGTGATTTATTCCCCCGCACTGCTATTTACTGATCAAAACTATAATTTTATAAAAAAAAGTGAAGTGATTTTTCCTACCACCTATTATTCCTGTAGACATTTATCTGGTAAGATATCTCATTTTTATCACTGTCCTATGCACTTCATTGAAATCGCCTTTGAATTCTCCCTAGTTTTTCCATTAGCAACATCAACAAGACACATCTCCAAATCTCATACTTCAGCTAACTTGGTAAATTGCTTTTCAATGATTTACTAAAGTGAGAGTCTTAAATTAACATCTGCTGTGCTTCCATTACCTAAAAAATAGCTGACCACGCTCTACAGTGGTCGATAACTCTTTTGCTGACATTTCTCTGTGTAATATGCAAAACTCTTACAACAGTGTAAAATAATCATTCCTCTCAGTTCCAGCAGTTGACACAACAGTGTATATATAGCAGTTCACCTACAAATAGACAATCGTCACATTTCACCCCCTTATAAATCCTGAGAAACATTTTGAAATGTTTTGTTGATGTAATTAAGTGTTACATCAAATGCAAGGTTCTTATTATATACCGTAGTTTAATTATTATTTTTGCTCAACAGGAACAGAACTCCTTGGGAAATCTATGAGACTTGCTTTTGGAACAGTTGGTATCCCCATGTTCTTTTCCGTGGGTTATATTTTTCTGCCTCTTTTTGCATATTTTATCCGAGATTGGCGTACGTTGTTGCTAGCCATGTCTCTCCCAGGATTTCTGTATGTGCCTCTGTGGTGGTGAGTTTTCTTTTCATTAATCAGCTGTTTATTAATGAATGTTATTAAAGTCAATACATGACAGGTTTTTCAGGGTTCACATCAAATAAAATTATTTAGTGCATTTCAATGTAAGACTTCTAAAAATTATGTTGGTTATTTTGTAGGCTTTTGAAATAATGGGGTGTAACCTTGTTGTTTCATTCATAATGCAGCTGATGTATCAACAACAACAGCAGCAATTTGCAATTGTATTGTACCTTTCACATTGGGAAAATTTCTCAAGGCACTTTGCAAAGATTGAGTGGGGAGGGATTTAAGAGTGGGGGAGGGGGAATTTGGCTAAAGGCACAGTCAAATTATTCAGGCAGAGCAAAGGGAGTAGCTGGAGAAATAGGAACACAGAAGATTGTAGAGATAAGAGTAGGACAAGGCAGTGCTTCCAAGTTCCCCATGACCTTCAGCCACAATGTCTCTAACTTCTCGAACCACCGGCCTCAATCCCATCCCTTCAACCCCACCGTTATATAATAATATAGCGCTTCAAGACTATAACATGTAGTCATGTAGCTCAGTGGTTAGAGCACTCGCTTTGCAAGCGAGAGACCTGGGTTTAATTCCCGGCAGAGTGAAACCTTGGGCAAGTTTCCTTACTCCACACACCTGATAATAATCCCTGAAGAAAAACAATAATAAATTGGTCATTTAAGTCCATGACTGTTTGTGGGACAATGCTGTGCGCAATTGGCTGCCACGTTTTGCCCACAAAATGTGCAGTAAATTCACTTTAAAGTCTATTCTGTGATATTCTCGTTAATTTAATGCTTTGAGACATCTAGAAGACATGAAAAGCGCTATACCAAATGCAAGCATTATTATTATTATCCTACTTGTTTGTACGCTGCTAAATAAATGCAAGTTGCTGTAAGCATTATTGGAAGGATATTTTTCTCTTCTTCCTCTTAGACTGAAAGTCTCTTTAAAGAATTATTTTGTGGTATTCTGGTTAATTTAACTTTACATCTGTCTGATATTGGCAGGTTTATACCCGAGTCTCCCAGGTGGCTGCACTCTCAAGGCCGAGTGGAAGAAGCAGAAGCCATATTTAAAGCTGCCGCCAAACAAAATGGCATTACACACGTTGGGGTCATATTTACAAGAAGAGAATGTACTGTAGATATGGTAATCTGAAGTACTGCCTAAACATAGAAATTTCAACACAGAAGGACGTCATCATGCTCTTGCCAATACCTATATTCCTAAATCACCCTTTTATTGATTAACGTTTCTACGCAGCTCTTCATGTCCCTTAACAATGTGCTGCTCAGGTGTTTAGTTCTATAGGGTGGAGTCCTGTAGCTTAGTGGTTAGAGCACTTGCCTCTAAGTGAGAGGACATGCGTTCGATTCCTGGGCAGGACAAAATGTATCCTTACCAGTTCTAGCCAGGCTCCACTGAGTCCCTATCACCAAATGGATCAATTTCAAGATCCTCACACTTGTTTTCAAATCTGTTCATGCCCTGGCACCTTCTTACATCTCTGACCTGCTTAACCCCCAACCCACTACCCACTGCCTCTGTTTGACTGGCTCCGGCCTTCTGCGTGTCCCTTGTGCCTACTGTTCCACAATTGGTCAGCACACTTTCATGTCCCGAAACTCTGGAACACTCTTCCTCTATCCCTCCATCTTCCTTCCGCATCTTAAAGATCTTCCTCTTTCACCGTCCTATGGTCACCTCCCCCTCCCCCCGGTTCGACGTTGTGCTCCACCACTGTCATGCACTCTGGGATGCTACCCTGCGTGAGGGACGCTATATAAATGCAAGATGTTGTTGTAACTTGTTGTTGCTCCACACGCCTCTGTTTACGTAGCAATAAGTCGGAACCCAGTTGTTAGAAGAACTAGATTTCTTCAGTTGAACATTAACAAGTCCAAAGCCCTCCTGATTGGCTCCCGTCAGCGCCTCTTCACCTCAGGCGCTGACAGCATCACCATCCAAGGATTCACAATCCACCTTACTAAGCCAGTCCGGAACTTTGGCTTCTTTTTTGACCCTCAACTATCCTTTCTACCCCACATCTATGCCATGACCCAATCTGCCTTCCCTACCTATGAAACATTGCCCGCCTCTGCCACTGTCTCACACCGCAGGCCGCCAAACCCTCATACACACATTCATAACATCCAGGCTTGACTATGCAAACTCACTGCTTGTCGGCCTCCCCAACTCCTCCCTCAATAGGCAGCAGATCAACCAGAATGCAGTCGGTGTCCTCTCCCGCACGAAGCTCTGTGACCCTATCATCCCCATCTTCGCCTAACTTCACTGGCTTCCCATCACTCAAAGGATACAGTTCAAGATCCTGATCTTCACCTTCAAAGCCCTCCATGGCCTTACTCCCCATTACCTCTGTGACCTCCTAACCTTTACCAACCTGCCCGCTCCCTCTGCTCAGCAGGCTCAGGCCTGCTTCACATCCCCCATGTCACCAGCCCCACCATTGGCAGACGGGCCTTCTGCCACTATGCCCCCAAGCTCTGGAACTCCATCTTCCTTTACCTCCTTCGAGACCCATTTCAAGACCCTCCTCTTTAACTGTGCCTTCAATTGCCCCCCCTTCCCCCCTCTGGCTTCCACCCTTCCCGATCCCGACTTCCAGCTCAGGTCCAAAGCACTAATTGTCCAGCGCCTTGGGACATTCTCCTAATGTGAAAGACTCTATACAAATGTCTATACAAATCTATACACATGTCTATACAAATCTATACAAATCCCTATATACAAGTGTATATAAGATTTATTATAATGATAATAATACTTTTTTGGGCAGAGCAGCTTTCACATCGGGGGACGTCCCAAAGTGTTTCACAGGATAAACTGTGAAGGTGGGCAGCCTATTTGTGCATAGCAATACTCTGTAAACAGGTGTGAAATGAATGATGAATTTTATTTGGGGAAATGTTGACCACAACAACAGGAGAAACTGCTTACTTTTGGAATAGTGCAATGGGATCTTTAGCATCCATCTGAACAGGCAGACAGGACCTTGGTTTAATGTCTCATCCAACGGACAGCACCTACAACAACGCAGCACATTGAATATAATAATGCACTCAGAAATTAGAACCTTATAAAGGAATTCAGGATTCAAATTACAAAATCTGCTGCTCTTCTTGCTATCCTATTAATGTTTCTGGAACTAATAATAATCATAATCCATATTTACCACTAAATTTAAATTGACAACTCATCTCATTGTTCATCTAATGGGCTTTCCTGACCTAGACACTCCCTATATGAACCCCTCCAATTGGGTTCCCGCGCTGACCATAACAACAACAACAACAACAACAAATTACACTTGTATAGCATCCTTCATGTTGAAAAGACCTACCAGTGGGCTGGACAGTCAGGGGTTTTGGACCCGGGCTGGGAGTTGGGGTCAGGAGGTGACCGAAAGCACGGTCAAAGAGGAAAGTCTTCAGACGGGACTTGAAGGAGGCAACAACAACAAAATTATATTTATAGAGCGCCTTTCACATTGGAAGGACATCTCAAGAGAGGGGGTGTAGCCGAGGGATTGTGGGATGGAGTTCATGTGGGGATGTGGGGGCAGAGATGTTGAATGCCCGACCACCAATGGTGGGGCGAGAAATGCGGACGACCTGGGGCAGGTCAGTGTTCGCCGAGCAGAGGGAGTGGACAGGCTGATATGGGGTTAGGAGGTCTCTGAGTTAGGGGGAGCAAGACCGTGAAGGGCTTTGAAGATGAGAATGAGGATTGGTAACTCGATTCTCTGAGGGATTGGGAGCCAGTGAAGCTGGACAAGTGTGGGGGTGATTGTTTTGCGAAACCTGATGCCTGATGACAAGCTGCAGAATTCTGAATAATCTGCAGCTTGTGGAGGGAAGAGTTGGGAAGTCCAGTGAGCAGACAGTTGGTTTATTCAAGCTGGGACATGATGAAAGTGTGGATAAGTGTTTCGGTGGCCTGCGGTGAGAGGCAGTGGTGGAGGCAAGCAATATTGCAGAAGTGAAGAAGGTGGAGCGGGTCACGGCACAGAAACAGCCCTGGTAAAAGTAACAAATGCAATTTCGTCCATCTGTAACCAGGGTTCCCTCTGTCTCCTGGTCCTTCTTGATCTCTCTGCTGCATTTGACACTGTTGACCACTCTATCCTCCTCCAACACCTCCCTCTTACCTGAACCTTCATGGGTCTGTCCTTGACTGGTTCAGATCCTACCTTTCACACTGTCTCCACTTTGTCTCTACAAATCACTTCTCCTCCAGCCATCTCGTACAGTGTTCCTCAGGGCTCCTTGCTTGGTCCTCTCTTCAATATCTACATGCTCTCTCGTGGTGATATCATCCACAGACAAGGGATCAACTTCCACATGAATATGGATGACACCCAACTCTATCTCTCTGTCTCCACTCTTGGCTCCAGGACCACTGCTGTCCTGACAGAATGTCTGTCAGATATCAAGTCCTGGATGAAAGCTAAGTTTCTACAGTTGAACGTCAACAAGACTGAGGGCCTCCTGATTGGCTCCCATCAGCGCCTCCACACCACAGTCACTGACAGCATCACCATCCATGGATGCACACTCCACCTCGCTGAGCCAGTCTGGGAACCTTGCTGTCGTGTTTGACCCTCAAATATCCTTTCTACCCCATCTCCGCAACATTGCCCGGCTTCGGCACTGCTTCTCTCTTCAGGCCACCAAAACCCTCATCCACGTATTTATCACATCTAGGCTCAACTACAACAACAACAACAACAACAACAAGATTCCATTTATAGAGCGCCTTTCACGTCAGGAGGACGTCCCAAGGCGCTGCACAGTTGGGTCATGACCCGAGCAGGGGGGAAATGCTCAGGGTGAGGGGAGGGAAGGGAGGGAGAGAGGATGGGGGGAAATGGTCAGGGTGAGGGGAGGGAAGGGAGGGAGCGAGGAGGAGGAAGAGAGTCGAGAGGGGAGCTGAAGGCACGGTCAAAGAGCAACTCCCTGCTTGTTGGCCTTCCCAATTCTTCCCTCCACAAGATGCAGATCATCCAGAACACTTCAGCTCATGTCCTCTCCTGTGCCAAACTCCATGACCCTATCACCCCCACACTCGACTACCTCCACTAGCTTCCCTTCCCTCATACAATAGAATTCAAAACCCTCGTCCTCGCCTTCAAGGCCCTCCACAGCCTTGCCCCTTTCTACCTCTGTGACCTGCTAACCCCACATCAAGCTAGCTGCTCTCTCCACCCATCAGGCTCTGCCCTGCTCCAGTTCCACTGCCCAATCCACCCCACCATCGGTGGTTGGACCTTCAGCCTCTTCACCACAACCATTGGAACTCCATCCCCCAGTCCCTTCACCTTGCTACCTCCTTTGCCTCCTTCAAGGCACATCTCAAAACCCTCCTCTTCGACCTTGCCCTCTTCAAAGGGCTATACAATGTAATTTGTTTGTTTCTATTTCACTGTAGTTTCTAATGAATTCTATTTTGTAAAGTGCTTTGAAATATTTATTTCAGCCTGAAAGGTGCTGTATGTGTAAGCATTATTTGATCAAATTGCTTTTCATACTTTCCAGCTCCATAATCCTAGGATTAGTGATCAAGATGTGCTCACCTACTTGGATTTGTTCAGAACATCCAATATAAGAAACATCACAATCCTATTCTTCTTTATATGGTGAGTGAGGGTTTATTTATCAAGATTTTAATGAAAAATTCTAAAAATTAAAATCTTTATTCAGTTGAGTAAATTTGCAAGAATATTTCTTACTACTTTGAATTCAGGTCATGGAATTGGAAACTTTCTTATCATCTTTTTGCAGGATAGTCACATCGATGACTTACTTTGGATTATCTGTGAATACTTCTAACATGAATGGAAATCCCTACATCAACTGCTTTATCAGTGCAGCTTCTGAAATTGGAGCGTACTTGTTCACTTGGTGGTTGCTGCCCACAGCACTTCGAAGAATTACAACTGCCTCGATGTTGTCACTTGGTGGAACTCTGTTGCTACTGATTCAATTGGTGCCAGCAAGTAAGTAATATCAGGAACAACAAATTACATTTGCATTTCGTGTTTCACATCGGGAGGATGTCCTAAGGTGTTGGACAATCAGGGATTTGGACCCAAGCTGGGGGTTCGGGTCAGGAGGGATGGAGGGCAGGAAGGATAGGAGGGTGACCAAAAGCTCAGTCAAAGAAGAGGTCTTCAGAAGGACCTTGAAGGAAGCATGAGAGGGAGTGAGATGAAGGGACTGTGGGATGAAGTTCCAAAGGGTGGAGGCAGAGAGGCTGAAGGCCTGACTGCTGATGGTGGGGCAGGTCGGAAGGGGGGCATGGAGCAGGCCGGAGCTGCTGAGCAGAGGGGGCAGACCGGTTGATAAGGAGTTAGCAAGTCACAGAAATAGTGTGGAGCAAGGCCATGGAGGGCCTTGAAGACAAGGACAAGGATTTTGAACTCCATCCTCTGGGGGATGGAGAGCCTGCGGAGCCCGGCAATGGTGGGGTGATAGGGTCACGTAGCCTAGTGCGGAAGAGGACACAAGGTGTTCTGGTTGATCTGCAGCTTGTGGATGGAAGCTCCCTGGGCTCTTCCTCAGGCCAAACTCATGCACAACTTAGGTGTCAGGTTTGATCCCCAGCTTTCTTTTCTACCCCACATGCATTCCTTGACCAGGACTGCTTTTATCTACTTCTGTCACATTACCCACCTGGTTCTTACCTCACAACCAAAGCAGCCGAAATCCTTGTCCACACCTTCTTTGCAAACGGCTTCTCCTCCAGCCTTCGCACCATCTCGTGCAGTGTTCCTCAGAGCTCTATCCTCAGTCCCCTCCTCTTCACCCTCTACATGCTCCCCTTTGGTGACATCATCCGCAGACATGGGGTAACTTTCCATATGTATACGGATGACACCCAACTCTATCTCTCTGCCTCCACCTTCAACTCCAGGACTACTGGCATTCTGATTGACTGACTGTCTGACATCAAGTCCTGGAAGAGGGACAACTTTCTCCAACTGAACGTCAGCAAGACCGAGGCCCTACTGATTGGCTCATGCCAGTGCCTCCGCACCTCGGGCACTGTCAGATCCTCCACGGCTGCACACTCAACCTCACTGAGCCAGTCAGGAACCTGGGTGTCTTGTTTGACCCTGAACTGTCCTTTCTTCCCCGCATCCGCACCATGACTGGCACTGCTTACCACCACCTCTGCTACATTGTCAGACTCCACCACTGCCTCACCCCTCAGGCTGCCAAAGCGTCACCCATGCATTCGTCACATCAAGGCTCGATTATGGAAACTCCCTCCTCATCGGCCTTCACAACTCTTCCCTTCACAAGCTGCAGATCATCCAAAACTATGCAGCTCATGTACTCTCACCACCAGGCTCTGTGACCCCATCACTCCCACCCTCGCCTGACTCTACTGGCTCCCCATCCCTCAGAGGATCGAATTCAAGATCCTCGTCCTCAATTTCAAGGCCATCCATGGCCTTGCCCCCTCCTACTCTCTGACCTGCTGACTCCCTACCAATCTGCCTGCTCCCTCCGTTCAGCAGGCTCCGGCCTGCTCCATGTCTCCCGCCTGACCATCGGTGACTGGGCTTTCAGCCTCTTTGCCCCGATACTCCAGACCTCCATCCCATAGTCCCTTCACCTCTCTTCCTCCCTTGTTTCCTTCAAGGACTGTCTGAAGACTCTTCTTCGATCGTGCCTTCAGTCACCCTCCCACCTCTATCCCACACCTCCCCATGCTCAGGTCCTGATCCCTGACTGTCCAGTACCTTGGGACATCCTCCCGATGTGAAAGGCGCTCTATAAATGTTATTTACCAGCTGGACTATACCAATGCCCTCCTCACTGGACTCCCCAGCTCCACCATACCCAAATTTAATTAATCCCAAACTCCATTGCTTGGATACTCATCCATACAAAACTCCATACCCCCATCACACGAGTCCTTGCCAGGCTTCACTGGCTCCCAATTACCAAATGGATCGATTTCAAGAGCCTCTGACGTATTTTCAAATCCTTTCATGTCCTCGTACCTCCCTATTATCCAATCTGCTTACCCCCTATGCCACACCCACTACCTCTGATCAACTGATTTCTGCATCCTGTTTGTCCCTCGTCACTTCCCACCTCCATCTCCGCCTCTCTCAGGGTCAGACTCCGCCACTGTCACGTGTTCCGGATGCTAGCCCGCGTGAAGATCGCTATATAAATGCAAGATTTTGTTGTTGAGTTTGGAAGGGCGACAAGCAGGGAGTTACCGTAGTCGAGCCTGGATAAATATAAATAAATGTGATGAATATGAATAAATATTTTTAGATATTTTGCTGAAGTCTTTTAATGAATACTATTAGTATTGAGGGTAAAATCATAATAGGAGATGACAAGTTTATATATTTATTTATATAGAGTCCCTCAAGTGGATAGCATCTTGGAGCGCTTAACAGTGATGTGATTTGCCGCTGAGCTGGAAAAAGTGGGGAGAAGTCCGAAGGCATAGATAAGGAGAAAATCCTTCAGGGGTGATTTGAAGATGAGCAAAAAGAGGTCTAGATAATTAGTTGGAGAGGACAAGTTTGTAGAGCTATGGGGAAAGAGTGGGAGAGTGGGATTGAATTGATAGCTCTTTTCAAAGAACCAGCACAGACATGATGGGCCGAATGGCCTTCTATGGTGATATATAATTCTATCATTCTATGGTTCTGTGATATGAAGATGGAGGGATTGAGAGAGGCAGTTCCACAGATTCAGGGCTGAGTAGTTGAAAGCATGGTCAGCATTGGCGGAGAGTAGGAGATGAAGGAAGTGCAGAAGATCCAAGCCAACAGAAAAAAACAATAAATCAACAAAGGGATGATTAGTCAATTTAAACAAACGAAGTGGAGTAGGTGTGAACACGTGGAAGAGGTAGGGAGATGTGAGGGCATGAAGAGAGAGCGAGGATCTTGAAATTGATCCGTTATGTAACAGGGAGCCAGTGGAGCCTAGGAAGAACTGGGACAATGGGATGTAGAGTTTGGTATGGGTGAGGTAATAGGCGACAGAGTTTTCAATCAGTTGCACTTTGTCTATAGTGGAGCTGGGAAGACCAGCAAGGAGTGATTGGAAAAATTGAGGCAGGAGGTGACGAAAGCATGAATTAAAGTTTTAGCAGTGTTTGAAGTAAGATAGGGGTGAATGCAAGTGATGTTGTGGAGGTGTAGAAAGGTAGTCCTGGTCAGGGACTGAATGTAGGATAGGAAAGATAACTGGGGATTGAACCTGACACCAAGGATGCTCAGGTTCGGTGAGTCTGAGGGACGGCAGGGAAGGTTAAAGAGTTTAGAACCGCAAGTGAAAAGATACTGACCGTTGCCAAGGAGGATGCCTTTTGTCGTGTTCAGAAAGTTGGTGCTCATGCAAACCTTGATGTCAGACAAACAGAAAATTGATAGGACTGGAACCACGGCAAGGAGGAAAAATAATAGATTTCAGTATAATCTGCATACATGTGGAAGTTGGCCCCATTTCTGTGGATAATATCACCAAGAGAGAGCATGAAAATGAGAAAATGATTGGGTTGAGAATAGAGCCTTGGGGTACATCACAGGTGACTGGGGCAGGAGGAGAAACCAATAGAGGAGAAGAACATTTGTAATAATAATATTAACCCTTGTATTTGATATAACACCTTATATGATGTGAGGGTGTCTCAACGCACATAACAGGAGTTTTTGTATATGTAGTGACTGTATATTTTGTAGTCGAACATTTCTTGCAATGAAGTTTATATTTTTTCATTTGCGTTTCACAGATGTATATGTGATTACCACGGCATTAGCAATGATTGGAAAATTTGCCATTACATCTGCCTTCATTATAATCTATATTTACGCAGCTGAGCTGTATCCAACTGTATTAAGAAACATGGGAGTTGGGGCATGTTCTACGGTATCCAGGATTGGTGCCATAATCTCCCCGTATGTTTTTTATCTTGGTATGTATTGCTAATGCTTTATTTCACAGCTTCTAAAATGTTTGAATAACTATTTTCCAGAAGCTTTGAACTGTATATAATAATAATCCTTGAATTGATTTAGCACCTAATTACATTGTCAAGATATCTCACAGCATTTCACAGAACCTATTGTGAAGTGTAGTGACTATGTATTTATAGGTGAATTTAGCAGCCAATTTGCACACAGCAATGTCCTACAAACACCCAATTTTATCTGGGGGATTATTGTTCAGGGCACCAGGAGAAACTCCTTTCCCTTTTCAAATAATACCATAGATTCTTGATTGTCCACATGAATAGACAAACAGGAACTTTGATTTGGCTTCTCATCTGAAGCATGGCACCTCTGACATTGCAGCCATCCCCCCATTTGAGTGTCAGCCTATCTAGACTTTGAACTGAAAGTGCCAAAGGTGGTCTTGAATCCACTACCTTCAGAATCAGAAAGAAAGAGCTACCAACTAAGCCAGGCTGACATAAAAGGCTATATATACACATCAGATTGTTGTGGGGCCAGAGCAAAGGAAATAACATAGTAATATAAGAACAGGGGTAAGTAATTCAGCTCATTGAGGCAGTTCTGCCATTTTATAAGATCATCACATCTTTTTCCCACCTTTTCTTCATATCTCTTAATGCCTTAATATCCCCATTCTCCAAATATGTATCCAGGTTTATTTCTAGTGATATATGGTATAAAAATCACAAGGTCAAGTGTACATGATGCCTGGTGACATACACAAAGTGGATTGTGGAATGTTGTACTGACTTTCAGATTGATAGTAATGCTGGGGTTTTCTGCTGAATGTATCTGCCTGGGGAGTTTTTTCTGCTTTCATTTGCACCACTGTGGTGTGTTCGCTACCATTATTTAGTGTCAAGTGGGTCCCTCTTTCAGTTTTGAATCTTTTTAGAAAATTTTCCTGACGTGATTTATGGTAAAAATAATAATAATAATCGTTATTATTTTTGCCATATAATTCCTTTCATATTAGATTTGCCATAGTAACATAGGAACAAGAGTAGGCCATTCAGCCCCTTGAGCCTGTTCCGCCATTCTACTATATCATGACTGATCTGTAATTCAACTCCATTTATCCACATTTGCTCCACTTCGAAAGATATACTATAAAATGTGCATTTTGTAGGCAAATGCAGCAGCTAATTTGCACAAAGCAATATCCCACATATGGCTGTAAACTGGTGAGAAACAGGATTAGACAGTTTACAAACAAATTTTACGGAGTTGCCTTCAGTGTAACCAAATAACAATTAGGGGATCTAAAAGAGTTTAGGAGCAACTGCTTCTTGCAGAGGGCAGTGAGTTTGTGGAACTAGCTGCGTGAAGCGATGGTTGGATCATATAGTATTAATGCATTTAAAAGAAAGTTAGATATAAACATGAAAGCCGAGGAATAGAAAGGTAATGGACAGAAGAAAGCGTGTGGAGTATAAACACCGGCATTGACGAGTTGGCCTGAATAGTTTGTTTCTGTGCTGTACATTTTACATAAATCTATGTAATTACAAGATTTTCTTGAATTGGCTTTTCTCTATATTTTTGTAGTATATAAATTGACGTCAATTTATTACATTAAGATTCAAAAGAGCAAATTATTTCAATACACAAATGGTTGTAATGTTGCCTCTGTATTTTTAGGATTGTATAACATAGTACTACCTTTAATGGGTCTCCTAGTTGTGGTCGCTGGAGCTCTCTGTTTAATCCTTCCTGAAACACGTGATCAATCTCTTCCAGAGACTGTTCAGCAGACACAGCCAATTAGATGGTAAGTGTGTTTTGCAGTGAATATGTTTTAATTGGCAGAAAATAAAGCATTGTGATAAAATCCAGAATCTTTTCATTCTTTGAATGGTAAACAATGAAGGTTTTATCAATTGGTATGTTCTTCTAAAGAAACATCCTTTGTGCTCCCTGCACACACCCAACAACCATAATAAAAATATCTGTTCTTATTATTAATAGGAAGGGTATGATTTTTTTATAGTCCGAATTCTCTCAGGACCATTCCAATGTTGATATGGCACAATATTAATAAAACTACCAATTTGATATAATGCTTCATCACGCCATTGAGGTATCTCAAAGAGCTTCAAAAGATATACTATAGAATGTGGTGACTTTTAGGGTTCATCAGCACTTCAAAGTATTTCTCAAAGCACTTCATATATAATTACTGTCAAATGCAGCAACAAATGCCCACAAACAGCAATAAGGTAAACAACAATTTACTTTAATTTACCATATGTTAATTAAATTTACAGTATAATAATTCATAGTACATTCAGTAAAGTGCATTGAGAAGTCACAATGACATGATAAGGCACTATATCAAATGCAACGATTATTATTATTAATTTGGAAACGTGTTAGCCAAGGTTTATCCTTGGAACTCCATCCCACATTCCCTTCGCTTCGCTCCCTCCATTGCTTCCTTCAAGGCGCATCTCAAAACCCTCCTCTTCGACCGAGCCTTCAGCCACCCTCCTACCCTTCCCAATCCCGATCCCTTGCCCGAGTCCAAATCCCTGACTATCTAGTACCTTGGAATGTCCACCCGATGTGAAAGCGTTATATAAATGTAATTTTGTATTGTATTACTCACCTGCGGGTGCTCACTGTTGACGCTTTGTCGAATTGCCCAGTTCCTCTGCGATGACATCCTTCACCTTAAAATAAACAACAACAACAAGATTACATTTGTATAGCGCCTTTCATGTCGGGAGGACGTCCCAAGGCGCTGGACAGAGTACAGCATTTCAGACCCGAGCTGGGGTCGGGGGGGAGGGAGTTGGGGGGTGGGGGGGACGGAAGGGAGAAGAGGGGAAGGGGGCTAGGCGATTGCATAAAGGAAGAGAAAGTCAGATTAAATAATAATAATAATCCTTTAATAATAATCCTTTGGTATAGCATCTCTCACGTCAAGACAATGTCTCAAACTGCTTCACAGAATTTACTGTGGAATGCTTATTTATTTACAGGTGAATGAGGCAGCTCAAATGTGCACAGCGATGTCCCCCAAGGAGTCATGATATAAATGACTAATTTTATTTGGGGGATTGTTGGCCAGGACAATGGGAGAAACTCCCTTCTCAAAAATTTTTTATGAATGCATTGCTTATATTTAATTTTCCTCCTGTTTTTCCAGTTGTTCAGTCTAGAAGAATGGCATCATTTCTGTGGTGAAAAGAAGACACCAATAAGAAGCAATGAATGCACTGGAAGGATGAAGTTATCTGTATATTCATAAAATGTCACAATTTCAACTTGCTACTTATTCAGGAAATAGGAAAATAGTGGAAGACTTAAACTTCCCTCATATTAAATCTACTTCTGTTTAAATTAACATTTTTTTTAAGTGTGTTTCATAATTTACAGTCAGCCTAACAATATGCAATAAAAAAGGAACATAAGAAAAGTCATGGATGAGAAAAGGCTATTCGTTTCACTGAAGCTCAATCTTCTATCATGCCATTTTCTGTTTCAAATCTACTCTTTACTATTACATTTATAGTTTTACGATTTAATCTGAAATAATTTTATCCACCCCATTCTATTTTCTCTTCAAAGCTTATTAAGAAACAAACAAATTAACCTGCATTTTTACGGTGCCTTATCACATCAAAACATCTCTTCCCTGGGAAGTTAGCAGGGAGGAGGCAGGTGGTTGAAAACATGGTCAAAAAGATACGTCTTCAGGTACGTTTTGAAAGCAAGGAAGAAAAGGGTAAGGTGGAGGAATTCTGTAGCTGAAAGCTCAAATTTTGATGAGCAAAGTGGCTGGCCACAGATATACCACTGTATGCAATCACAGCGCTAAGGTGGGGCAAGACCATGCAGGAATTTGAAAATAGGTCATGTATCTCCAACTGAATCCACTAGGCGATGGGGAACCAAGCAAGATTGATGATGATGGGTTCACAGAACTTGGCTCGAAAGAGGACATGGGCTGGATAATTCTGGCTTGTGTAATTGGGTTTGTTACACACCTATTGCAATAAAGTAGTTATCTTTTTGTTATGTCATTAAAATGTTGTCTTCATTATTAAAGATAATTAAACTATGATTCTCAGATTGCTTTAGTTTCTCGCTTTCTCAATTTAATATGTATCCTTATGATGCACACATTCTTTTCCAAGCTAACCAAGCTCTGTGAAATGATCACCCCCTCCTCGCCCAGCTCCACTGGCTCCCCATCCCTCAGAGGATCAAGTTTATAATCCTCATTGTCCACAGTCGTGCTCCTCCCGAGCTCTGCAACCTATTATAACCATAGCAACCAGTCCATTCCCTCCATTTGGCAGGCTGTTCCATGTCCCCCACCCTAGCCGCCCCACCATTGGGGTTTGGGCCTTCAGCTTTTCTGATCCCACCATCTGGAACTCCATTCCCGAATCCCTCCGCCTTGTTCCTTCCCTTGCCTCCTTCAATAATAATAATAAAAATAATCCTTGCATTTGATATAGTGCCTAATCACATCTTTGAGATGTCTCAAAGCACTTTGCAGAATACACTGCAGAGTGAATTGACTGTATATGTTGTGGGCAAACACCAGCCAATTGTTCACAGCAGTGTCCAACAAACAGTCGTGGATTAAGTGAACAAATTATTATTATTATCTTTTAAACGATTATTAACCCCACCAATCGACTAACAACCTAGTCGCAAGATAAACAGAGGGATGTGAAGTAAAAAAACTTGCCCAATATTTCACCCTGCCCAGGAATCAAACCCAGTTCCTCTTACTTGCGAGGCAAGTGCTGTAACCCAGAAAACCCGTCTCAAGATGTTTTTCTTTGACCATGCCTTCGGCCACACTCCCACCTGTACTCCCCCTACCCTCCACCACTCTTAATTCTAACCCCCAGCTCAGGTGCAAATCTTTAACTGTCCAGTGCCTTGGAACGTCCTTCTGACGTGAAAGGCGCTATGTAAATTTAATTTTTTGTTGTTTTTCAACCAATACACAATTATTTATTTGTCAGTAATTCATTTGGCCATTTGGCTGGACAATTGTATAGCCAACAACTCCTTCTGTAATGCTTTCTATTTCAGTAGATCTCCCTGTGTTTGTATTGGACATTTCCATAAAATATGAAGCAAAATTGGGGTCAAGATAACATGAATCACATTGGAAGCTCCTTCCTCCCACTAAACAAGGTGAAAGTTTCAGGAGCAGTTGGATTTGTTGCAAAATGAACCTAACAAGTACGAATTGTCCTGCAGCATAGTGGTTCGAGCACTTGCCTCTCAAGCGAGAGAAACCGAGTTTGATTCCTGTGCAGGATAAAACCTTAGCCAATTTTCCTTACTCCACACGCCTGTTTACCTAGCAGTAAGTAGGAATCCAGTTGTTAGTTGACTGGCGGATTGCTCTCTGTGGATAATAATCCCTTAAAAAATTAATAACAAAATGATATTTTGATCACTTAATCCGAGACTGTTTGCGAGAGGCTGCTGTGCGCAATTGGCTGCTGCTTTTTGCTCACAAAATATACCGTTAATTCACTTACAGTATATTCTGTAAAGCGTTTTGAGACGTTTCAATGACGTGATAAGGCACTATATCAAATGCAAAGATTATAGTTATTATCATCAAATTGAGCCCAAGTTCCCTATTTTATTTTCGGTTAGCTGGATGTCTGGCATGTTGAGAAACTGATTGCCACGCTTGATGGCTTGAAGTATCACAAGATCACAAGATTGAAAACTGGATGAAGAAGGCTCTTCACCCAGTTGATCTTATTTTTCCAGAATCCCCATCCTTCCAACACAGGATCAACATGTTTTTAAAATAAGTCCAGTGTTTTGACCTCAACCGCAGAGATCCCTGGGAACCTGCTCCAGCTGTTAATACTTCCTAGTATCTATCTTGAAATTGCCCTTTGCAACATATTCCAATAAATAGTAATCTTTTTATTGCATCTCTATAAATGAGATTGCTAGTTTTACAGATCAGCATAAGGTATACAGATTTTCAAAGCAGCATAACAGGTCAGGTTTGCAACCTTAAATCTGAATCCGTTTATTCTGTTGTCAATGCATCAAAAAGTATTGTTCGGAGTTTACTTTCTCAATCCTATTTAAAATCTCCACAAGGTAACTTATGAGAGGCCTAGCTTGTTCAATCATTGCTCAAACTAAACTTCTTAAAATTCCACATATGTACAGAAATGTAGATTTGTCTATAGTGCATATTCTCTTCCAGAAGGGATGCACCCTGCTTAATTTACCATGGAGTGTTCAGTGTAGATTGACAAGAGCCAAGGTTTGGGGACCACTGAGTGTGTACTGTTCAACCAGCTAAAACTGCACAACATGACATTGCAAAGTGCCCACTCCTTTCTATCTAGGAATTGCCTTCCTATTAGAACTCCGCCTTTCAGGGTTAATAGGAGATAAGTGGGATGAATTGCTGCCCTCATGATTGATCTGCTGCTCCAGGTTTTGCTCATGAGTTAGACTTGCAAGTTTGCCACCAGAAATGCCTTAGGAGGCCTTGCCTGCCAAAGCAGCCAGGTTACTGAGATCATCAAAGAGGATTGACAAAATTCTAATAATCCATTTGCCAGGCACATCACTTTGGAAACAGTACAATCTCAAAGTGACCCTGTGTTCCTCCTTCCCTCTTCCCCCAGAAAATAGTAAGTACCATCAAACCTCAAGCAACCACCTCCATTCAGCAACCACCTCCATTAACAACCACCCTGCAACAGCCCAGAAAGCCCAAATTGGACACTAACAAATCCTTCGCAGAGCCCATTCTGATATAAAGGCCACTTTGGCCCAGTCCCCTGAGAGGTTGTTGAAGACTGGTTGGATTGTGATCAGTCATTTGACATCTGATAAGCCCTCTCTTTGTGAATATCAAGTGCTGGGAACTCATCTTGAGCCATCTAGTGAACAGCACAATTCACCCTGAATATGTGAGAACATTACCACCATTCTCCAACCTTCACCCTGAAGATATAACCACATCAGTGGTTATATAAAACCAGCAGTGGTTTAAGCAGTTGGAAAAGCGAAATGTTGGGCAAGTTTCCTTACTCCACATTGCCTGTTTACCTAGCAGAAAGTAGGAACCTGGGAGATAGTCGATTGGCAGATTGCTTAACTGGAGGTAATAATTCCTTCTCAAAGAAAAATAATCAATTGGTCACTTCAATCTTTGATTGTTTGTGGAGCTGCTATGCGCTATTGGCTGCTGCGTTTCACCCACAAAGTGTACAATCAATGCACTTTACAGTATATTCTGTGAAGCTCTTTGAGACGTCTCAAAGACGTGATAAGGCATTATATCAAATGCAAGGATTATTATGATTACAAAGCTTCATGTCAACACTCCTTTGGTCTCTTGAAAGGTCTCAGGCTCTGGGTAGCGTAATAACTTGCTGAAATGTTACTAAAGAGCTAGTCTTTGCAGGATATCATTTATGTTGTTTTGATTTTGTTGCGTTCCTATGCTTTAATCAAATTCTCAACTTGCACTAATTTTAACTTTAACACCCCCGGCTTGTTATCATTAACAATATGCAATGGTATACAAACCATGCAAAATTTGCATTGAATTGATTGATTGTCACATCATTTTGTAAATTGTTATGGACAATTACTTGCTAAGAAATTGAAGAATTATTTTTAAATGTGAAATATTTGCACAAGGGTAGAGAATCCCAACAGTTAGCAGTGATGATTAGACCAGATCAGCAATATTACTAACAATATTTAATTTTTAAACTTTTCTTTGTGGCAATTCTTATTCAGTATGAATCGGATGGGTAGACCAAAAGGTGAGAAATAGATTTTAGTGAAGATGAATAATAATCTTTGCATTAGATATAGCGTTTTGCAAGTCTTCTAGACGTCTCAAAGCTCTTCACAGAATATACTGTAAAGTGAATTGTTTGTATATTTGCGGGCAAAATGCAGCAGCCATTTACTCACAGCAGTGTCACACAAACAGTCATGGATTGAGTGACCAAATAGTTATTTTAATTATTTATTTTCTTGAGGGTTTATTATCAGGCATGTGTAGTAAGGAAATTTGCCTGCCTTGGGCACGTTTCCTTACTCCGCATGCCGAATAATAATCCCTCAGGAAAACAAACAATAATAATTTGGTCACTCAATCCACGACTGTTTGTGGGACACTGCTGTGCACAATTGGCTGCCGTGTTTCAAATTATACAGTCATTTCACTATACAGTATATTCTGTGAAACACTTTGAGACGTCACGAAGACATGATAAGGCACTATATCAAATGCAAGGATTATTATAGCACTTTTCACGTCGGGAGAACACCTCTATGTTCATCACAGGCTATACTATAAAGTGTGTATTTTGGATAGCACTGATCTAGGCTGATAATCCAACACAGCACATTGTTAGAGGTTCCAGCCTTCTAATGATTTGTTAAACTGTCTCCAGGATAATGTTAAATATCCCATGGCAATATTTCAATAGAGGAGTTCCTTCTGGTATCTGGGCAAACAATCCCCCAGGTAAAATTGGTCACTCACTTCATGTGTGGGGCATTGCTGTACACAGATTGGTTACTCCATTTGTTTATATATATATATGCCTATACAGTCACTATATTTTACACTGAATATTGACATCAACAATAATTTGCACTTATATAGTGCCCTCCACCCAGAGTAGCATTTCAGAGTGCTTAACAGTGGCGAAGCCTGACTCCAAGGTGGAGGGGGTGGCAGAGGTACGAGCTGGGGGTGAGGTTCTCAAAACTGAGAAGAGTTTTGATATGTTTTGATGCGATAAGGCATTGTATCAATTCTCTATCTGTCTTCAAGTCCCACCTTAAAACCTTTCCTTTCACTGTAGTTATGGTCTATTCTGCCTTCCTCCCAGCTCGGTGTCTGTACCCATCATTGTAAAGCGTCATTGTATGTGACTGGTGCTATGCTTAAATGCAAGTTGTCGCTGTTAGAATAAACACTGTCTTTATCCTGGGAAGACAGTTTTAGCTGAGAACACAGTGCCACCACGTGTCTATACGCTGCAACACTACAGAAAATAAATCTCAAAAAAATTCATCACACCT